ACTTATGAAAAATCATCCACTGAGAACCCTGTGGAGCACAGTTCTACTCTGACACACACAGGACACCATGAGTGGGATCTACTTATGAAAAATCATCCACTGAGAACCCTGTGAGCACAGTTCTACTCTGACACACACTAGGGCACCATGATTGGGATCTACTTATGAAAAATCATCCACTGAGAACCCTGTGAGCACAGTTCTACTCTGACACACACACGGGACACCATGAGTGGGATCTACTTATGAAAATCATCCACTGAGAACCCTGTGGGGCACAATTCTACTCTGACACACACACGGGACACCATGAGTGGGCTCTACTTAAGAAAACTCATCCACTGAGAACCCTGTGAGCACAGTTCTCCTCTGACACACATGGGGTACCATGAGTGGGATATACTTAAGAAAACTCATCCACTGAGAACCCTGTGGAGCACAGTTGTACTCTGACACACATGGGGGCACCGTGAACCGGGGCCTGCCTGGTTTGCCTGTGGGGACATTCAGATTCCTTTGTCACCCCATCACTAAGTCATCTCTGAGGGTCCCTAAAGGAGTGTGTGAGTAGCCTCTGGTTCTCCTCACATTCCCCATAGGGAAGTGCAGCAGAACGTCTCTGAGAGCTGAGCCCCGACACCCAGCATCTGCCCCACCATAGGGCCTGGCTCACAAGCAGACATTAGTGTAGGTGGTCCTCACGGGACCCCCCCTCTGAGTTCAGGGCTATGGCACAGGGGGCTGCTACAGACTGGGCTTCTCCCTTCTTACTCCCTGAGAGCAAGGCACTCTCATCTCCCCCAACCCCACAAAAAAACTGGGTCCAAAAGAGATCATTCTGGAATACCCAAGAATGAGAAAGTGGTTGTTTCCAAATGTATGTCTCCTCGGTGTGACTGTCTCCCAAGTCAGGGTCCATAAGGACTTTCTGAAGGGCCAACACGGATGTCACTTTGGTCCTTGGGGTCTGGAGTTCCAGAGGCTGAGGAATAGTAGGAGCCAGGGTCTCCCTGGAGCTGGAGTGGATGGTATGCTGAAGAGGGGACTCACACTCTGTCCTAGCCCCCCACCCAGTCGGGGGAGGCAGAGAAATACTGCTAGGTGGATTCTGACTCAGACCCGGGAACCGCAGATGGCTCGGGGTGAGAGACGGTACATTCCAAGCAGATAAAGACGTGAGGTCCGGTCTCTAAAGATGAGTGCACGACACTTAGAGAGTTTCGTTTCGCAGACAATATGGTAAGCTTCATGAACATTCATACCACAGGGATGAAGCCATGTCCTCATCCACAGTCCCTAAGGTCAGCACGCTTGTCAGAAAGCATCATGTGCTTGTTCACGGCCGTTGAGCCGATTCCGACTCGTAGTGCCCCCCATGGGGCAGAGTAGAGAGAGCAGCGTCCTCAGCCTTCCAGGCCTGCAGTCAGCAAACTGCCCCAGCTCTCCCGGTACTGGGCCACAGAGGGGGTTCTGGTCTAACTGCGGTAGCACCATCTGCTCACCACTCGGCGTCTGCATAGTCTGCTGAATTTTGCCATGTGGTGTTTCAAAATCCACTCGCCAGGGGTAGGGCCCCAGCATGGCCCCCACACTGTGACCATAGCCCCGGGCAGCACTGGCTACTTCTGATGTCCTTGTGTGATCCTAGCCACCTCCCCTGGGGCCCAGCACCACCCCTGGTCCCCCGAATCTAGCTCTTTGCCCCATCTGGATCACCTCTGCACAGCTCACAGGGCGGTAGCAGCCCTCCAATGCAGCACGGAGCTCAAACGGAACCAGCGGCTCAGCAGCTGCAGGGAGGGATGTGGGCACAGGGGCCAGGGCTGGCTGCAGCTCCTGGCAAAGCTGGAGGGATCTGTAAGAGATGACAGTGTCAGCCCCACCAGCCCTTCAGGAGAGGGACAGTCTTGCATTTGTCCCCAAGCAGGACTGTAAAAATGCAGGATGACAGAACCAGGCTGAGCTGGCCACTTCACGGGTCCTTTAAAATACGTGATGCCTAAACAAGCAGGTTCGTTTCAAATACTGATGGGAGGGGACATCTTGATAGCAGGACCCTGGAATGCTTGTTCCTCTTCTAAAACACCTCTAGGTGGGCCCCAGTACAGGCTCCACCATCAGAGCCCCGAGCGGGGTCACCATGACCCACCAGAGGCTTGTCTGTCCCTGAGAGCTAAGAGGCTGTAGCCATGGCAACCCATGATGCTGATCTGTGTAGACATAGTATTCACTGTGACATGCACGGGGAGACCCCCAAAGTATGAGGAAAGCAGACACGGAAGTGATGAGGAGAGGGGCATGGAAGGGGGCAGGGGGTCTGCAGCATGCATTCACCCTGGGACCCACAGCACTGGGTTTGTCTTGCACCAGCATGGGTGCCCATGGGGTAAGTAAGTGGGTGGGGACAGGAAACCACCCCAGTGACCTCTGGGTCCCGAGATCTGCGTGTCCTCTAATGCTGGGCTAACAGATGACCTGGACTCGGGGAGCAGAGAGCCACTGCTGACAGAAAGGTCCTCACAGGAAAGGCTCTTCCTGCACCAGGGCCAGCATGCCGAGTGTGCGCATGGGGGTGTCAGTGTGTGTGAGAGTGTGTGTGTGAGTGTGTGTGAGAGTGTGTAAGTGGGGGGTGTCAGTGTGTGTGAGTGTGTATGTGAATGTGTGTGTGAGTGTGTGAGCGTGCCGAGTGTGTGCATGGGGGTGTCAATGTGTGAGTGTGTGTGTGAGTGTGTGTGTGAGTGTGTGAGTGGGGGTCAGTGTGTGTGAGTGAGTGTGTGTGAGTGTGTGAGTGGGGGGGGTCAGTGTGTGTGAGTGTGTGTGTGAGTGTGCCGAGTGTGTTGTGGGGGTGTCAGTGTGTGAGTGTGCCGAGTGTGTGCGTTGGGGGGGGGGAGTGTGTCTATGAGTGTGAGTGTGTGGCTGTGTGTGTCCAAAGGGCTTGGGGCCCTGGGATGACCAGGATCCCATGGGATCATTGAGTGTGGCACCGCCAGGGGCCTTACAGCAGAATGTTCTGGCAAGTCCTCATTTTGGAGCTGGCCAGGTACAGCTTGGAGTGGACAGACCCAGAATGCTATGACCTATTTCTTGGAGGTCTAGTCTTGGAGGCAGGCTTGGGGTGGTGGGGCCCACCAGCTCAGAGACACCCATCCAGGACAATCCTGATGGCCTTTGAGAGTAATGGCTACTCCACACACCTGCTGCAAAGCCAATGCCACCCACAAGACCACTGAGCAATGAACACAGTACCAGGTGCCCAGGTGTGGGAGCCAGAGGGAGCCCCACCTTGGGACAGAAGCAGGGCACCCAAGGTCAGACGGCAATAAAGTCAAAGGGGACATCCCACCCTGGGGCTGCCTGGGAAGGCCTGTAGGCAGAAGTGCAATGTGCAATGGGACCAGGTCATCAGTGGGCCCCTCCATCACAGCTCACTCCTCTCCCCTCAGTCTGCCCTGAGAGGGCCGGGAGCACCCTCACCTTCGGACCAACTCTGCTCAAGGTGTCCGAGGGGAAGAAGGCCACCTTCCACTGCAATGTCCCCAACACCACTGCGTCCACCGTGCTGAACTGGTACGGGAGCAGCCCCAGCAACCAGTGGGTCAAGATAGCGTCCTTCCACAAGAACCATAGCCAGTCGGCGTGGGGTCCCCGCTTCAGCATCACCAAGCTGGGGGATGGGCACACCTTCCACCTGCACATCAGCAGCGTCCTGCACAATGACAGTAACACCTACTACTGCGGGGCCATCGACCTGCCCCCCAAGCCGAAGATTACCGAGAGCCCCTGTGCCGAACTTATGGTGACGGGTGAGGGTCTCAGGCTGGGTGGGAATGGGGGTGGGGTACAGTAGGGTGCCAGGGGCCCACTGGGATCGCCCTGTATGGGCATGTCTGATGCCAAGACCAGACAATCTCCCTTACTCGGATCAGGTAACAGGTCAGAACATCCTGGATCTATCCACCAGAGGGCAGAGAGGAAGGGATGCAGGAGCATGGAGGTGGGGGTTACAAAGGGGTGCTGGGGACACAAGGGGTCACGGAAGGGTGTTGGAGGTACTGAGGCGTATGGGAGGCACAGAAGAATGAGGGCAGCTGAGGTGGGGGCTCTGCGCAGTCCCACACCAGACTTATCATTCATCTGGGGATCTGCAGAGAAGTGGGAGGTAAGAATTTTGGCAGCTTTGAGGCCTGAAGTCCCACCCACCTGTGTCTTCCCTCCAGACAGAGTCTCGGAGCCAGCCACCATAAACCCCAGCCCCTTGCCAGGGACCTTGGGCCAGCTCCGGATCCTGGTGGTCAGCGTCACGAGCGTCCTGGTGGGCATCCTGGTACTGCTGCTGCTGGCCTGGCTCCTGGTCACCGTCCTGCCCAGGGAGGCTCAAGGTAGCTCCCACATGGAGCCCCGTGTGGTCATTTCCTCCCCCTCCTCCCCTACCGCCCCCCACAGCTGTGCCCATGTCCTCCTCACAGTCTCTCACCCTTCCTCCCCTACCCCCTTCCTCTACCCCTCCCTCCCTCACCCACATTCTCACTCCCCCTCCTCCCCTCATCTACTCTTCACCCACATGCTGCTGGCTGAGGGAAAAGCTGGACCAGAGCCCCCTCACAATATGGCCCTTGAGACCCTGGTCAGTTCTGTCTAAGATGCTTTTCCTTAGAAGACAGATGAGATCATTCTGTCACAACAAAGGTCAGCTCCCAGTCACCCTCAGAGGACAGCAGGTACATCTGGCACCACACCATCCTCTGCCTGGTTCCAGCCACACCCCACCTAGGTTACACCTCAGTGAGGACCTCAGAGTGCTTTGTAAGCAACTATGTGTGAGGCTTGTGGTTAGAGCTACCACAGCACTGAGGGAGGTGGTTTATGATACCCTGCCCCCCTACCCTGACCACCTTTGAGAGGTCTTCATGAACACTGCTCCCACATTTGACACCACACACACCTGACCACCCCCCAGGGCTGCCGGGAATAACCTGCCATCTTCACACCACACACCTTGACCATATGTGAGGGACCACTATGGATGTCTCCACACACCACACACCCTGGCTGCATGTGAGAAGCCCTGTGGGTGAGCCCACACACTTACACCTGTCTGCGCACACCCTGGCCTTGCAGAGGACACAGAGGTGCTGACAGGCAGACCCTTTGCCTGGCTTCAGCAGCAGGAAGCAGGGCCATATGATGCAGCCACACCCCAAACGTTTCTCTGAGAGCCTGGGGTGTGGGGCCATTAGTCATTACACAGCTAGGGGTCAGGTGAGCCGTACTAGCAGGAAGTGAGCCCTTGGGAAGGGAAGGCGGGTAGAGCTTAGGATCAGGGGCCCTGGTTGGGGTGACACATCAGTATTTCTGCCCCTGACCCCCAGGTTTCTCCACAGGAGCCGACAGAGCACAGAGCGATGACAAAACGCTGGTGAGCCCCCTTCCCCTGCTGCCTGTGACCACAGCTCCCCATATGCCTGGCTCTGTAGGGGACAGGTGGAGGGATCCATCCCCACAGCCCAATCCCCATGTCTGCATGCACATGTGCAAGAGTGTGTGTGCATACATGTGAGTGTGTGTATGTATGTGAGTGTGTGTGCATATATGTGAGTGTGTGTATGTATGTGAGTGTATGTATGTTGAGTGGGTGTGCATGTATGTGGGCATGTGCCTGTATGTGTGTGTGTGCATGTATGTGAGTGTGTGTGTGCACATGTGTGTGAGTGTATGTATGTTGAGTGGGTGTGCATATATGTGAGTGTGTACATGTGAGTGTGTGAATGTATTGTGTGTGCATGTATGTGAGTGTGTGTATATGTGAGTGTGCGCGCGTGTGTGAGTGTGTGTGTGAGTGTATGTATGTTGAGTGGGTGTGCATATATGTGAGTGTGTGCATGTGAGTGTGTGAGTGTATGTGCGTGTGTGCATGTATGTGAGTGTGTGCATGTGAGTGTGTGCATGCATGTGAGTGTGTGCATGCATGTGAACGTATGTATGTTGAGTGGGTGTTCATATGTGTGAGCGTGTGCATGTATGTGGGTGTGTGCATGTGTGTGCGCATGTGTGTGAGTGTGTGTGTGAGTGTGCGCATGTGTGTGAGTGTGTGTGTGAGTGTATGTATGTTGAGTGGGTGTGCATATATGTGAGTGTGTGCATGTATGTGCATGTGTGCATGTATGTGAGTGTGTGAGTGTGCACATGTGTATGTGTGTGTGAGTGTATGAATGTGCATATATGTGAGTGTGTGCATGTGAGTATGTGAATGTATGTGCGTGTGTGCATGTATGTGAGTGTGTACATATATGTGAGTGTGTGCATGTATGTGCGTGTGTGCATATATGTGAGTGTGTGCATATATGTGAGTGTGCAGGGGGGCTGTGCTGGCATGGTCATTGTCTGCCCTCTGATGCAGGGAGGGATTCTGAGGCCAGAAAGGGTAAGCTGCTCCCACTCACACCCCCTCTCCTGGCCCATGCAGGGTGAGGCAGAGTCATAGAGGCAACGGCCATGGGGGACCAGAGGAAAAAGCTTGGCTCACCCACAATGTCTTGTGTTGAAAAGATGGGGAAGCTGGGCCCAGGGAAGGGTATGGGATCCTGCCCACAGGTCTTCCAGCCGGACCTCCCTTGCCACACTGCTCCCCCTGACTCATTCACCTGGGGATGTCAAGAGCCTCACCCCAGCTTATATCACAGCCACACACCACAGTCCCCTCCCCATGGCCCAGTGTAAGTGTGTGTCAGCATGTGCATCTGTGTCAGTATGTGAGTGCATGTATGTACATATTGCACACATTGTGGGCACTGCATGTGCACATACATGTGTGAACATGTGTGTGCTTGTGTGTGTATAGCCTATGCATGTGGAATTGTGTGTATTCTGTTTTGCCCGTGTGTTACAGTGTGTTGTACATGTGTGTGCATGTGTGCGTTTCTGGTTCGTGTGTACATCCGTGAGTACATGAATATGTGTGCACGTGTGTGTGTGTGTGTGGTTGTGGTTGTCCGCAGGTGTATGCAGGTGGACTTGTGTGTGGTGTGTGTCTGTATGTTTTGCATGTGCATGTACGTGTGTGTTGTACATGTATGTACGTGTGTGAGCGTCTGGTTTATGTGCACAGTACGTGCCGGGGTGTGTGCATGTTGTCTTTCACGTGGGCATGTGCTGCCTGTGTGTGCTGTGGGCTTCAGTACACAGGGGTGCCTCCTCTGTAAATAAAAGCCCCACATTCATTGGCTGTCAAGGGACAGAGTGGGTGTCTGGCCACCAGTGACAGTGCTGTGTCCAGCTACACAGCCACACTGAATGACCGCATTGACTGACCTCCCCGTCCCTCTCTCCTGGAAGAAGGAGGACCCCTCGCCCATTCCTGTGTTCACCGTGGACTATGGAGAGCTGGACTTCGAGCAAAGAGAGAAGACCCCAGAGCCCCCTGTCACCTTCTTCCCTGTGCAGACCGAGTATGCCACCATCGTCTTCCCTGGTGGCGTGTCCCCTTCGGACCGCAGGGGCTCAACCCATGGGCTGCAGGGTTCCCGACCCCTATGGCCCGAGGACACTCACTGCTCCTGGCCCCTCTGACCATGGGCCTGGGTCCTCCATGACCACTCGTTCCTTCTGGACAGCATGTGGGGTCGGGTGGTGGGTGGAACCATCTGAGGAATGAGTACTGTTCCCATGGCAACTGCCTTGTCCCCACTCTGCATGAAAGTTGGCATGGCACTAACCCCTCTGATGGCTCCCCACGAGCCTGGGAGGCAGGAAACAGAAGGGTGGACGGTCCAACCACAGGCCTTGCGTGGGCAGAACCAGCCCCGTAATCACAGCTGCAGCTCAGCCAGCACCTTACCTTCAGCACCCAACCATCACGGCAGCCAGCTCCTCCTCACAAACAGAGTGAGGCTGTGGTCAGAAACTATATGTAAGGGTCAGGGGAGAGGTGCTGGACCAAGGAAACAGGCATGCCCAGCTGGCCGAGCCACCCTGAGGGGTCCAGCCTGGCCACTCCTCTAGTGTGTAACAGACTCTGCCCATCTCCACTGGGAGGTGGGGGCACAGCCCTATCTGGGGCAGATTCCCCCCTGGTGGGCAATGATGCTGAGACTGGCCACCCCTTGTCCAGTCAGCACATAGTCATCTACTATCCAGACCTGAGACCCTTGCTAAGGAGCAAGGGCCCCACCCTGGATGGAGCCCCTACCCACCACGGTCTTTTGTATTATATATTATCATTAAATAATAATGGAAGCTCTGCAAGAAGGCCCAGACTGCTTGTTTGGGTGGTTGTGGAGATGGGGTGAAGGGTGGGCTGAAGGTGGTCCCTGAAGCTCTGGAGAAGTGAGACGCAGGGCTCAGGCCCCATTCCCATCTTCATCCCATGGACCCTCACCCTCATTATCCCCAGTCCCGTGGACCCTCACCCTCATTATCCCCAGTCCCATGGACCCTCACCCTCATTATACCCAGACACTCACAGCTCCTCTGGAGACTCCATATTCTTGTTCAGATGTGCACACACACACTACACCACACAGCCCTAAAGCATTTTTGTGTGACCATACTATGTGTGCCCTCCTCACCTCCACCCTGGGGGCCCCTCCAAGACAAGGCTGGGGACACAGTCTCTGGACAAATGAAGTACCTCTCCTGAATGCACAGGGAAAGCCATCCCTGCCAAGCAAGGAGACTCGACTCAGAATGGAGAGGGTCTATCAGAGGCCCAAGTCCCCTGGATTCAGACACATGGTGACTTCCAGGATGAGCTGCCCAGTGGAGAGAGTAGGGAGGGGAGAGTCAGCAAACACAGACCAGTTTGCTCATAATAAGAAACAATGGGAGGTCGGGCACAGGCTTGATGGTGGCTAGAGTGGAGGTGCAGTGAAGGTCGCCATCAGCAATACCACAGAATACCAGGCAAAGCAGATCCAGGGCAGAGCTCCAAAACTCAGAACCACAGAGATAGGAATATTTTAACAGTTTGAAGGCTTATAGCTTGTGGAGTTTGGAGCTGAAGTAAAAAATTGCGTACTTTTGAATCTGCCAGGGCAGGCTCGGAGGCCTGAGCCAACATCCTGGGCGAGACCAAGCGGCGGGATGAAACAGGGGGAGCAGAAACACCACGGAAAAATGCCACGGGAACCATGGGACAAAGGTGGACAATGTACTTGGTCAGTTTTGCTTTGTTCTGATTTTCTTTTTTTCTTTGGTATCTGGTCATTGGCGCACTCACTGCCCACCTCCATTCTGCTGAATAGAGGGACAGCCTGAGCTGAATGGCCCCCCCCACCCTCACCGCTGGTGGGTTCTTCTGCCAAGCATGCACACAGATACTCAGCCCAAGAGGATACCCTGAACTTCTAATATCTGTTTCTGTTTTGTTCTGTTTTTTATCACGTGAAAGAGTAGAAGAGTGCTGAAAGGAGGGAAAGAGAGCCAAAGGTTGGATTGGAGCCTGAGGGATAGCATAATAACCAACACTGGCAACTTGGAATCTGTCGGGCAGCTTTGAAGGCAGGAACTTAGGACATTAAAGTCATACTCATATTAAGCTACAGATTTTTTTTTTCCTTCTTTTTCTTCTCTACCTCCTCTCCCTTTTCTGTGATTAGAGACTGCAGTATTCAGTCTGGTTTTTGTTGGTGCTGCTTTTTTTTTTCTTTCTCTCATTTTTTCCCCCAACTGTTGTTGTTTTGTTGTTATATGCACCCCCCTTCTGCCTTTGGAGGACTCTTTGTCTCCCTATATTACACAAGAAGAGTCAGAAACTGTTGCCATATAG